CTTCTACCTTTAGATCCATAGGTTTTGGTCGAAATTTAACCAGGGAAAACAGAAAGTTTCGAATACTGTCCCTTTACTTTTACCTATATTTAATTTTGACCTTAGAGGTTTAAGTTATTCTGATTTTGACCTATATGTTTCTCAGCTAATTTGTAAAATGACAAACCTATTAAGAGAAATTAGATTAAAGGCCATGATGTGTGACATATTGTATTAAGTACTTATTTGCAATTTTATTTTCGATTTACGAGATTTTTCCCCATGCGCGATATTTAATATTTAAATGTGTATGATAAACCATATGATTTCTAATATATGTATTGTGTATAAATATAATAAAATTGAATATTTTTGACAAACATATGTTAAAACTATCAATTTTAATATTTTTATTTGTAAATTGATCAAAACATATACAAATATTATTTATTTTAATATTTTTTAAATATAAAATTGACCTTCATTATTTCTGTAAATTATAGAATATACGATAAATCATATAACTTTTAGATTTATATGAATTTGTCGGACATTACAAACGGAAACAATATATCTTTTCCAATAATAAAATGTATAAATATTTGTAAATGCAATTAAATATATATATATATAGTAGGGTACATATCAAAATAAAAATATATGTATAGTATACTAATCTAAATACATAAATACACAATAGACCATTATTATAAATATAAGAAAAAGCTCGTTAATATTTCAGAAAATAGATTTTATGGTAAGTCTAAAATATTATATTTAGTTGGATTTAAAAATTTAAAACATGTATTAATTTTTTTGGTAGGATTAAAACATGTATTAATGAGTTTATGTTAAAAATTAATGAGAATATTTAGAGAATTTCCACCATCTATATGTTTTTAATTGAAATATTTTGATTGGTTAAATTAAATGATGTGTCCTTTAAATTTCTCTATGATTGACACTAGAATTTTTTCTCCAGTGTCTCCTCAATTAATATATAGAGGATTCAAACTAATGAAATCTTGTTTATAATGTTAACGAACGTTATATTAGTCACGCAAATCAAAGTCCTCCATATATTAATGTGTCACTAAATGAAGATTTTAGAGAACACATTAATTAAATTAATCAATCAAAATATTTCAATGAAAAATCCAGAATAAATCTGTATTATTTCTGAATGATTTACAAATGCGACGACTCTAAACTATTTATACATTTAAGATAAATAAACCCTAACTCAAATGTAATCAATAATCTATATATTTACACTTAAACCTATATATTTACATGGCCT